ATTGCTCAAATTTCTGTCACTATAGTTTTTTTCATTGAGATATAATTCATATACTATAAAATTAATCCTTTTAAAGTATACAGTTCAATGATATATTCACAAAGTTGTACTATCATTACCACTATCTAATTTTAGAATATTTTCATCACCCCCAAAAGACACTACATACCTATCAGCAGTCACTCCCCACTGCCCCTTCCTGCCAGCCCCTGGCAACTACTGAACTACTTTCTGTCTGTATGGATTTGCCAGTTCTAGTGCTTTCATATAAATGGAGTCATACAACACATGGCGTTTTGTGTCTGGCTTTCAGTTACCGTAACGTTTTTAAGGTTTGCCTGCATTGTGGCATGTATCAGTACTTTCTTTTTATTGCTAAGTAATATTTTATTGTATGGATATACCACAGTTTGTTTACCCACTCATCAATTGGTGGGTATTTGGGTGGTTCCCACTTTTTTTCTACTATGAATAATTCTGCTGTGAGCACTCGTGTACGAGATTTTTTTGTAAACCTATGTTTTCAATTCTCCTATGTATCTTGGAATATAGGTTAGTTTTGCCTGTTATAAAACTTGATATAAATGGAATCGTGGTTCTCGTGTCTGACTTCTTTTTGCCCAGCATAATGTTTTTGAGATTCATTCATGTAGGTTGTTTCTTTTTGTGCTGTGTAGTATTTTATTCTATGAATATACCACAGTTTGTTGATCCAGTCTCCCAAGGATGGACTTTTGATCTGTTTTCAGTTTGGGGCTATTATGAATAAAGCTGTTATGAACACTCTTATACATATCTTTTTATGAACTTATGTTTCAGTTTCTTTAAGTATGTAGCTAGGCGTTGAATTACTAGATCATAGAGTAAATGTATGTTTAGCTTATAAAAAATTTCAGTGTCTTCCAAGTGGTTATACCATTTTAAATTCCTACCAGAGATAGATTCAAATTCTGATCACTCCACATTCTCATTAACATTTGGTATGGTCAGCATTTTAAAATTTTATCTATTTTGTGGGTGTGAAGTAGTATACCATTATGGTTTTAATTAATATTTTTCTGATGACTAATGAATTTTTGGTGTGCTTTTTAATTACTGGTATCTGTTCTATTGTAATTGCCTGTTCAGGTCTTTTGCAAATTTAAGAAATTGTGTTGTCCTTTTAGTAATGAGTTATAAAAGATTCAAGTCCTCGATACTAGATACAAGTTCTTTGCCACATATATTTTCTGTGAATATTTTCTCCCAGTCTGTAGCTTGTCTATTCCTGTACTTAATGATACGATTTGATAAGCAGAAATTTTTAATTTTGATGAAATCTGATTTTTGTAAATATTATGGTTATTTCTACCAGTGTTCTTTCTAGGAAGTCTTTATTTACTTCACGGTCATAAAAATTTTCTCCTATGTTTTCTTCTAGGAACTTTATAGTTTTGGTTCTTACAATTAGGTCTATTACCCATCCCAAATGAACTTTTTTATACGGACTGAAGTAAGGGTCAAGGTTCATTTTTTTTCCATCTGGGTATTCAGTTCCTCCAGCATCACTTGTTGAAGGTTTTTCTTTATTGAATTCTTTCAATGCCATTGTCAAAAATCAATTTATTGTGATAATACAGGCTTATTTCTGGAATCTCTATTGTGTCTCATTGACCAGACTATTCTTACACTATTCTTACACTAATAACATACTATATTGATTTTTCTAAATTAAATATAGTTGATGTACAATGTTTTGTTAGATTCAGGTATACTACGTAATGATTTGACATTTGCTTATTATTATGAAATGATCATGATCAGTCCCATAGAAAGTTACCACAATATTATTGACCATATTTCTAATAATGTATACTACATCCCTGTGGCTTATTACATAAACGGAATTTTACACCTCTTAATCCTCTTTATCTATTTCATTCACTCCTCCTACCCTCCCTCCCTTATGGCAACCACCCATTTGTTTTCTGTATCTATGAGTCTGTTTTCATTTTGTTTTGTTCCTTGATTTTGTTTAGAATGCCATACGTAAGTGAGATCATGCGGTATTTGTCTCTCTCTGTCTGACTTACTTCACTTAGCATAATACCCTCTAGATCCATCCATGTTGTTGCAAATGACAAGATTTCATTTTTTATGAACGATAAACATATATACTACATCTTCTTTATTCGTTCATCTACTGACAGACAATTAAGTTGCTTTTGTATCTCGGCTATAATGCTGCAATGAACACTGGAGTGCGTATATCTTTTTGAATTAATGTTTTTGTTTTCTTCTGGTAAACACCCAGAACTGAAACTGCTGGATCATATGGCAGCTCTATTTTTAACTTTTTGAGGCACCTCCATAATGTTTTCCAAAGCGGCTGCACCAATGAACGGTCCAAACAACAGTGTGCAGGGATTCCCTTTTTCCCACATTCTCTCCAACACATGTTATTTGTTGTCTTTTTGATAATAACCACTCTGAAAGGTTTGAGGTGGTATCTCGTGGTTTTGATTTGCCTTTCCCTGATGATTAGTGATGCTGAGCACCATTTCATGTACCTGTTGGCCATCTGTATGCCTTCTTTGGAAAAAATGTCTATTCAGGTGCTCTTTCCTATTTTGTAATCCAGTTGTTTTTTTTTTTTTAATGTTGAGTTGTATGAATGCTTTGTATATTTTGGATATTAACCCCTTATTAGATATATTGTTTGCAAATATCTACTCTCATTTGGTAGGCTGCCTTTTTGTTTTGTTGATAGTTTCCTTCACTGTGCAATGCTTTTTAGTTTGATATAGCCCCATTTGCTTATTTTTGCTTTTGCTTCCCTTGCCTGAGAAGACATAGGCAAAAAGTATATATGTATTGCTAAGACTGATTCTAAGAGTGTACTGTCTATGTTTTCTTCTAGGAGTTTTATGGTTTCAGGTCTTATATTAAAGTCTTTAAGCATTTTGAGGTGTCTTTGTCTTTGTTTTTTGGTTTTTTGGTATATGGTGTGATAAGGTGACCCGTTTGATTTTTTTTGCATGTAGCTGGCCAGGTTTCCCAATTGAAGAGGCTGTCTTTTCTCCATTGTATATTCTTGCCTCCTTTGTTGTAAATTAATCAGCCATATAAATGTGGGTTCATTTCTGGGTTCTCTATTCTGTTTCATTGATCTATATGTCTGATTTTGTGCCAGTACCATACTGTTTTGATTACTGTACCTTTGTAGCATAAGGAATAAGGAAGTGTGCCTCCAGCTTTGTTCTTTGTTCTTCTTTCTCAAGATTGTTTTGGCTACTCAGGGTCTTTTCTGTTTCCATACAAATTTTAGAATTATTTATTCTAGTTCTGTGAAAAATTCCATTGGTATTTTGATAGGAATTGCATTGAATCTGTACATTGCCTTGGGTAGTATGGTCATTTTAACAACATTAATTCTTTCAGTCCATAAGCACATAATATCTTTCCAATTGCTTATATTGTCTTCAATTTCTTTCATCAATGTCATAACTTCTGAGTTACCTCCTTGGTTAGATTTATTCCTAAGTATTTTATTCTCTTTGATGCAACTGTGAATGTTTTCTTAATTTCTCTTTCTGATAGTTTTTTCTTAGTATATGGAAATGCAACAGATTTCTGTATATTAATTTTGTATCCTGAACATTTACTGAGTTTATTTATTAGTTCTAATAGTTTTTTGGTGGTGTCTTTAGGATTTTCCATATAGGTGACCTTTGAACAATATGAGTTTGAGCTGCACAAATCCACTGATATGTATATTTTGTCAATAAAAGTACAAAAATATACGTGCAAGAGTTGTATTGAAGTGGATAGCGTATTCTTACACAGGCATAGGTGAGTGACATTCCATATAGAATTAATAATGTGCTAGTTTTCTTACTGTTTTATATCTTCGTTTTCAAAGGATTACCTTACTGTACAGTGTGCTTCTCTCTCTCTCATAATTGGAGAAACTGCATATCAGCCTCTCATCACAGGTAAGTGGTTTTCTAAATAATGTAACAGTGTTTCCAGTACTGTATTATGAATATGACTGTAATATTGTGTGTCATAAAGAAAATTTATAACAATTCATTCATTAGCCTATACGCTAGGCTACCATGAAGCAATTGTATCAGTTACACTAGGCTAACATAAAGCAATCATATTGCTGCTTCTTTGTTATCAATGCATGAATCATTATACTTGTAAAGAAATATGAATTTCTTTTTCACATTATCTTTTCATTTTTGCTGTCTGCTATTAGTAATATGTATAATATCTACTGTGCTTTGTATCATATAAGCCAATATTGATGTAGGTGCTGACAGATAGACAATTCATCTTGTAAATGGATGACATAAACTTAACAGTATTGAAAATATATAGTACAATACTGTAAATGTATTTTCTCTTCGTTAATTTTCTTAATAACATTTTCTTTTCTCTGGCTCACTTAATTGTAAGAATACAGTATATAGTACATATAACATACAAAATATGTGTTAATTGACTGTGTTATTAGTAAGGCTTCCAGTCATAAGTAGGCTATTGATAGTTACGTTTTTGGAGAGTCAAAAGTCATACACAGATTTTCAGCCATGCAGGGGGTCGGCTCCCCTAGCCCTTGTGTTGTTCAAGGGTCAACTATGTATAGTATCATGTCATCTGCCAATGGTGGTAATTTTACAGCCTTCTATCCAATTTGGATTCCTTTGATTTCTTGTCTGATTGCTGTGGCAATCCACATTTGCTCTGATACCTCACTTTTGCAGCATATGAAGTTCTGACTTTTCACCAAGGCAAAAACTACCTGTACTATTTTTCTTTTTGACCCTACTCTTCCCTAACCCCTGGATTCATGTGTTCCTAAGTCTACCCAGGCCTCAGCACAACAAACTTCTTAGGTCTACTTGGAATTTTAGTTAAACACCTATTTTATCCTGTATTTCTTGAGATTATATACAGCGAAAAGAAAAGGAAAGTGATATTTAGTGAGTAGAGTGACAGCAAAATTATTAAAACAGATGATTTGATTTTTAATTTCAAGTTTAACATACACACATATAATCATTGGTCAAAAAACTGAAACAGGTGATGTAATAATGACAGGGTATAGAAAAAGGTACAATGATGATTTTTTAAATGTAAGTATGGTAAAGTTAATGCTACAGAGTCTGGCGAAAGCCCTCCTACAGTCTTACCACCTCAGTGTAAAGTCTTCTGAAATCAGCTTTCTTACCTTTGTCTCATTTCATTTTTTCTTCCCTCCTCAGAAATATTAAATTTTTGGTCAGTTTGCCCAAGATGGCCTCTTAGCTTTGTGATAAATATTGTCAACTCATGTGACACTTAATTGCATTGTTACAAATTTTGTAGTATCTACGTACTCTCTGATCTTACCTGTAATGGGGTTCTTCGTAGACCTAAGTTTTAAATTTTCAAAGTTGGAAACCCATCATTGAGAGTCACAAATGTTGCTGAACTCTAGGGTAGGATTTGGAATTGGTGTTGGAAAAGAACTTTCCTTTTTTTCAGGGAGGTCCAATTTAAAGGTGTTTTAGTCAACAGCGTTTATAGGACATATACCTACCCATTGTTCTTGTCTAAAGTCCTGAATTCACAGAGTAACCAAAATTCAGACACTTCACCTCAAGGGGCTGAGTGCTCTTCTTGGTAACATCTGTGGTGTGTTTGAACAGAACTGTGCTGCTTAGGGGTTACAAACCTCTTTTCTCATGATGTGCCAGAGATGTGTCTGTGTTCTAAACTAAACATTTCTCACAAGAGATTCCAAATTATGGGGATGACCCAACCTCCCATTCCTCTATCAGGCCCAGAGATTGTGACAAGAAACTGCATGGGTTTGATACAGAACAACCCATATTAGACTCTTGGGGTCCCATACATGATGTCATTTAAGACCAAATGACTTTGAGTCTGGGAACAGTCTTGTGGACTTCTGGGTTTGTCTTGTCCAGGCCATGAGGATTTAATGACATGCTAATGGAGGAGCACAGGTCTTTCCCAGCAAGGTAAGAGGGCTTCCTGTTAGTAATGAGGCTGGGCAGGGAAGGAGGCTGGTCTTAACCTAGAGGAAAGAGGTCTTCCTCTCTCTGAGGCCAAGAAAAGTTGGGTCTGGGATCTAAGGAAAGAGCATTCTTGGAGGTGACAGGGATGGGAAGAACCAGCTTAGCCAAGTGGAGATAGACCAGTAGCCAAGATGAAGCCCTAAGTGAGGTAAGTCAGGGCTGTGGGTTCAAGATGAGACATCTGTAGGGTGAACAACTTGTCCAGGTTTGCCCAGGACTGACACAGTTTTCAAACTAAAATTTCCCGAGAACTCCTTTAGTTCTGGGCAAATTAGGATGCTTGGTCGACCTAGGTATTCGTCGAGCATTCCCCTTCATGTTGTATTACCAATGCCCCCAAGGCTTCAGTAAAAACTGGTTGGAAGTCCCAGCTCTCTCCTAGTTGTGCTCTGGGGAATAAAGAGAGGGGCACGCACCAATGAGTGAAGAGAGAGCTGTGACCACCTGCCCCAAAAATGATGCCCCAAATGCGGTGAGAAGCAGTCTGCTGAGACGTTGAGTATTAACCAGGACTGGTTAGAGGAACACATAAGTGGTCTTCACAGGTCCCAAGAGAAAGATGGGAAGATGATAGTGATAGGACAAAGGCCGGATTTCCTGTGGGTGCATAAACTATAATTTGGGCATTGAAAAGAAGTATTGACCTTGAAGCTGGTAAACTTGGGGACATCTGGGTTACATATATTTTTAGACATCTTCCTATATTGTATGGAAAAATACATGCCAACCTCAGAACTGATTTTCCATTCATTTCTTTGGTACCAAATATATGTGACATTTTTCGTTCCTAATGCCAGGTGTTCCAATGTAGAATTACCTATACATTAAGCTCTTCTTCAGTGGAAAGAATTAGACAATAGTCTTAAGACCTGCCTCTACCACTTGCTAGCTTTAGGACCTTAGGAAAACTTCTTAAGTCTCTGAAATGTCACTTTCCAGTCTTTCAGATTTACTCAGGAGAATTAAACGTGATAATTTCTACCAAGCAGGGCCACCACATTATGGAATCCGTGGGCCCTTGCCACATTGCCTTTGGGGGCCCCTTCTTCCATAAAGAAAGGATTAAAAGACAAATATAATCCAGGTGCGATTCATTGTTATATTCATTATTATTATAATAAATTTTAACTTTATTATATGAATTGATAATGGATTATTATTATATCATTGTTTTCTTCTGACTTTAAAAGAAACCAAAACATTCCTGTGGCCCCTAGGCACTGTGCCCTACTGTGGCTTGTGAGTCAGCCCTGATGTCAAGTGCCTGCTATGGGATAAGCACGTAGTAGGTGCTCCACAATTTTTATTCCCTTTCTCTTCCATTGCACGTCAAAAGAAAAAAAATTTCGAAAACTTCAAGTGGCAAATTAAAATTCAAGAAATAAAGTCAAAAGAAAATGTTCCCCAAGCCAGTGGATATCTATAACAGCAGGTTTCACTTATAGTGAATATCACTTTACTGCTTTTAACAAACTTCAAAGAAAATGTTGTAAGGCCATTCATTCTACATGTCTGTTTCACATCAGTCACAATTATATCCCAGCTTCACTTCTCTCCCCTTGTTATACCTCATAAATTGTATAACTAGAATGTATGTGTAGTGTATGGATTACATTAGGAATTGTCAGAAGTAGCCTGATAGTAAGCATTTGCAATCACCCCCCTTCTGGCATCTCTGAACCCCTCTGAAGGTATGTGAATACGCTGCACCCCCAGTAACGGGGGACAAAAACACAGATCAGGGAAGGGACCCTACGTGCTTAATAGCTCCTCCAGAGAACTGAAATTGTCACTGTGATGTTTAAACAATAGTGCTACGGTTCTACGACAAATATGTTGCTTACCTGTTGAACGGTCATACAAAAATACAAACAAAAATCAAATTTCCACTGAGAGTGAAACCTTGTTTGTGGTAAGTAGGGACAATGTAGGTTTCCAGAGCAGGTTAGTTGAGCCCCAGAGATGTCCTTCTGGCAGTGAGAAGTGAGATGCTGTTATCCTATAAGAAACGCTGTCTGCCAAATGTCTCTTAATGCAGGAAACTTCTCTGGGCTTCTAGTTTGGTTGTCCTCTGCTCTTTTCATTTATGGCGAAGACCCCTGGGTGTCAGCCGCCATCCTTCGCATAAGGAAACAACTACAGAGATGAAATGGCAAACTGGGGCCTCTCTGGCAACCATTTGGACAGCAGCAGAGAAATTCACCTTCTCCCCAACTTCCCCACCCCCAACCACGGGTCCTTTCTCTTCACATTGTAAAGAACCAAGGAAGTGACTCATCCGTGGCCAGCAACTTTTTCTGTTTGGAAGTTGCAGTAAAGAAAAAAAGTTCTATGGGCAAAGAATACAGATTCCTTGTTCTAAATGAAAGCGCTTTAATAGATTTGTATTTATCATTCCTGTTGCATTTATAAGATCATTGAAATTCAAGACTGTCTCATTTATCTCACATTGTTAGAGAGAGAGCTGCTTCCCACATGTGCGTTTCCTGATAACCCAAGCTTTCTAGCCTTTGAAGCACCAGCACTTGTTAAAGTTGAATCTTTTTTTTTTTTATAGAAAAATGTCCAAAATGTTACACATGTCTCCCAGCCTTTTAAAACAGACTTTCCTGAAACATAATTTAGCCTTTGTTGAGGGTCATCCTACGGTGGTATGCTAATGCCTGAGAGGCACGATGGTGAAAGGACTCTGAAATCAGACAGGCTGGGTTCACGTGAAACTGATGCTGCCATAGTGACCAAGAAACCTCGGGCACTTACAAATCTCTCTGAGTGCTGCCACAGAGATGGGAAAAAACCTGCCGCTTCTGAGAGAGGCTGAGAGTGTTAAGTGACCTGCTACACATTCAAAGTGTTCAGCATGATGCTTGGGAGATAGTAAGCATTAAAAAAAAAAAAGTGTAGTAAAAACTAAATGTACGATAAAATAAAGAAAACGAATAAGCAAGATAAAAATGTAATGAAACTGTAATAAACTGAAAAAGCGTTGCTGCGATACAGAGATGGCTTCAAAGGCTTTTTAGTAAGCATCATTAATTCCACCTATCCAAAATGGCCCCAGATCATAATGCTTTTTGAGTTCCTTATCTTCTTATCACAGTTTTCCCTTCTCGTTGGGGTGAGTGCCTACCTCTGGTGACATCACCTCTAATATTTTGCTCTAAACATCCTGTGAGATGGGAAACCACATAAACAAGTTGGAAAGAAGTGCTTTAAATAAGAGCAAATGAATTCTAAAGTATGGCTTTAGGTAGATTTTTTTGGGGGGGGATGGTGGGAAACTACGACTTTTAATGCATTATATTAATCAGGATGGGCTAGGTTTTGCTGCAGGAACAAAAAAACTCCAAAATCTCAGGGAGTTTAACACATCAAAAGGTTGTTTCTCATTCATTTTATGTGTCCACTTGGGTTGCAGCAGAGCTCTCCTCAACATGGTCATTCAGGGACCCAGGCTGGCAGAGGCTCCATCTCAACATGTGCTTCCCCATATAGGGGAAGGTGAAGTGATGAATTGTTCAGTAGGTCTTACAAATTCTGTAGGAAACGAAATATGTCTTTATGATTACATTTTATTGGCAAACATAAATAGCATGGCCACACTTAACTTCTAGAGGGCAGACAAATGCAATTCTATTGTGGGTTGGCAGCGGGATGGGAGAGAACTGAGTTATCTCATGCATGGTTTTGGGTTTACATATTTTAGGTAATAATAATCCCAGGTCACGTTTACTGAGTGCTTTTACTACGTTCCACGTGCTGAGCTAGGTGATTTCCAGGCAAGAACTATTTTCCCTTTCTACCCATGAAGAAATTAAGACTCAAACTAGTTAGGTTGCCTATTCATAGTCATAAAGATAGTAATCACATGGTTAAACTGATCTGTCTGACACCAAAGCACATGTTTTTAACCAACTTTTTCTCAATCTCAAATATATTCCAGATCACTGAGATTAATCAATAACTTTGAAATAAGTGACTTTTATTATTGTTTAGTCAGTGCAATTTATCCACCAAAGAATGATCAAAACTTGCTTGTTCATTTTCTTTTCTTATTGCCTTTCCATCAGAGGGACTGCTTTCAATTTAACAAATACATTCTTTACAACGTGTTTAGCTGTAGAACACGCCATGAGGGATTTCAGGGCAGGGTATCATAAACACCACAGTTCTTGACCTCTGAGATTCTATAATCTTTTACATTAAATACTGAATAAAAGAAAGCAATTAAAAGGAAATAGAAAACATAAATGTAAGATAGTTATGTACAAACAAGAGAGAGCTAAACAGAATGTAATTATGTATTATGTGCTACAGACAGTCCTATTTGCTGTTGTCAATATTGGGTGATAGGAAGAAGGGTGTTTAAGGACAGGCAGGATTTGGACAACAGAGATATGAATCCTAAAATAAGCCAAGGATTATAAAAAAATGGGGAGACTGGCCTGATGGAAATAGAAAATATGTGTTGAGAGGTGGAGAGGGAGCTAAGCTGGCTGAAAAATAGAGGCAGGTTATGAGGGACCTTGAATATCAGGAAAAATCCTGAACATATCCCAGAGGCAAAGGGGACAAAAAGGCTTGTTTCTAAATGTTTTAAAAATGTAGACCATTTCAGATAAAGTTGACGTTTCCTTTACCCCCTGCCCCAGCCCCTCCTGGTGGCCATCGCCTCTTCTCTCTCCCAAGAGGAAACTACTATCATGATTTGGTGGACAGCATTCCAGTTCATATTTTTCTTCTACTTGTATGCAAATTATGCATTCCATTTCTGTTCTGTTATGGCTACCCTTATATTCATGTTCACACCTAAAATGAAGTCTAGAATTAATCAATATCACTTACCTCCTTCTAAATAACATGTTTTAACTCTGATCTGCTCCCCCATGTTCCACGGTTTTATACTTACAAATTTATTTTTCCCTTATTTTTAAACACATAGGCATTTTAATTTGTATTATCAAGTGTTTGTTTATATTTACCAACATATTTATCCATTTTAAAAATACTTCTTGCATCCCACTTTTTCTTTTCAAGGTAATATTCTTTCTTGCCAAAGTAAATCTTCATGTACAACATGCCAGAGTACTACTGGTCAAAATAGTCATTTGTGTCTGAAATTGACTTTATTTTACTTTCATTCTGGAAAGACAGTTTTTCTCTCAGCAATTTAAATGCATTATTCCTGTGCATTTGTAACTACATTTATAACACAACAGCCATGTTCTGCCAGCTATTTTTGCTTTGAGAAGTATGCCCTCAGTCTAAATGTCATTCATTTGTAGGTACATTTGTGTTTTTCTCTGGTAGTTTTTAAGGTTGATACTTTGCAGTTGAACTAGTGTTTAAAAGTAGGTTTGTTTTTAATTATACTGCATGAGGCCAGGTGTGCTTCTTTAAAAACTCATGTCTTAGATAATGGAAATTATTGACTACTATCTATTTGCTTCTAACTCCCTTTTTTTTCTATTTGGAACTCTTAATAGACATAGGTAGGACTTGCTCATTTGATCAACTTTCATATTTTTCATCTCTTTGTGTGTTATATTCTGGGTGATTTCTTGCAATGTGTCTTCCAATTCACTTAACCTCTCATCGGCCATCTCTACCTTACAGTCCAACTGGTCTATTAAGTTTTTTATTTCAATTACAATTTTTTCAATTTCAATTTTTTGAAATTTTTCAAAAAAAATTTCAATTTTTTCCCAAAATCTGCCCTTTTTCAAATAGTTTTATTCTTGGTTTGTGACTACTATTCCTTTCTCCATGTCTTGAAATGTTTTTTGTTTTTACTTACTTTAAAGTCTTTTTTAGATTGTTGTTCTATTATTTCCAGTTCTTGAAGTACAAGTTCTCCCATTTGTTCATCTGCTGGCTCCATTGCATTGTGGTTGGCTTTCTTCTATGATTTCTTTTTTTTCATTTCTCTTTTTTTCTTTCCATAAACTCTTCCTTAAAGAGATGAGATTGAAAGGGGAGGCCACAGAATTTTCATGTGCCCTAAAACATCCTTTTGGAGCATTTTTACCCTTACCAATTCTGGACAAGATTTTAGGATAATTTCTTAGTTTGGGGTCCCCATAGTACATGAGTAATCAGAATTCAGGCCTCATACAACTTGTGGAACAAATTTCCCTTTTTTTTTTTTTTTTTTTGGTGATTCCTATTACTTTCACAGCCCCAAGAAAATTAGACACTTTCCTGCAATTCCCCTAGGCTAGCAGAAGTTTTCTCTAGTTCCAGATTCAGAGGATACTAGATAATCTCTTCAGGACCCCTGGCTTTATGCAGGTAGCCTGGTTCCTGATTATGGTCTCATGGAGCTCAGACCTACATAATCCTGCTCACAGAGCCTCAAAGCTTCAGCTGCTAAGGTCTCTCTCTCCTCCTGATTCACATGTGAGCATTTTTATTTCACCTCCCTCTTATCACTGTAACTTTGAGTATTCTCTTTGTGTTTGGCACTTGAGGATTTTTTTCCCCTAGTTTTGAGTTTTAAATTGTATTAAAAATTGAGGAGGGGGTATATTTTCACCAACATTCATATATGTGTGAAGTGGGAGGGTTCCTTTTAGCTTTTTTTTTTGCATTAGGTCAGGTTGGCGCTATTGAACTGCAACCATGGAAATATAATTTCAAATTAAAAATACACAGGATCTGGCAACTGGTTATGTGGAATTGACCTAGTTTGCATCCTTCCTCCCCCAAAAAAGGAGGTATTGAGACAAGGATTTAAGAACAAGTAATTAATATGGGAGGTGAAGGAAACACCAGTAGGGACATGAAGAAGTTAGGGGAGGGAAAGTAGTCAATAAAGGGTGTTATCAATCCAGTTACTATCCCAGGCAAATGGAGTTTCCCCTGGGGAAACTCTGAGAGTTCAGTGATCTACAAGGCATGAGGAAGCTGTGGTATTTATACAAACTACTGCATGTCATTGGTTGAGGGATGCTTCCAAAATGTAATCCACCAAACTTTCCAGCTTGCCACATGGATAAGTTTATATATTTAGTTATATACTGATGTGCAATGAATTATCCCAACACTTAGTGGCTTAATACAACCATAAATATTTATTATCTCACATTATTTGTGAGGGTCAGAGATTTTGGAATAGCTTAGCTGGTGGGTTCTGGCTTCTGTTTCCTCATGAGGCTGCAGTTAAGAAATCGGAAAGACTTTCATTATCTAAAGGCTGGACTGTGGCTGGAGGATCTGTTTCTAACATGATCCACTCACATGGCTGGCCAGTCAGGGCTGGCTTTTAGCCGGAGGTCTCAATTCCTTTGACCCCTTGAATGTCCTCAGGACAAGGTATAGGGCTTACCGCAAAGTGAGTGATCCGTGAGGGTGAAGCCACAGTGCTTTTATAACCTCCTATTGAAAGTCACACTATCTCTCCAACCTTCCATTTGAGAGGAGCGAGACAAGTCATGAAACATGGCCCACATTCAAGAGGAGAGGAGGGAGGCATGTCAAAGACTGTGAACATATTTTAAGCCATCACAGTAGGCAAAGACAGCCTCAAGCAAAGAATGCAGGTGCCTGTGGAAGTCAGGCAGGCGGAGGCAGTAAGGGCCAAGGGGAATGGGTGGGCACCAACGTGCCCTCTACAAGAACAAATAAAGATAAGACCCACCCATTTTCCAGGCTTAGGGAAATAGATTTGATTGATGGGAGAGTTGCAAAGTGACATCTTTGCGAAGGACATGGAGACAGAGATGGGTGAAGATTTGGGGTACTTTAAGTGTCAATCTGCTGCAACCACTAAGAAAGGAAAAACAGTACCAATTAGATTAAGATTCTCCATTGATTATCAGCTGTATCCCAGTTTTGGGGACACAAGTATGAGAGAAAAGTACATCTTAGAATCAGCAAATACAGAAGTTGCACAAAGAATTTCAGATTTTCACATATACAACTGTTGCAAAAGCAAACACCTCTAACTTTTATCTTCCATCTTATATAGAGATCATTAAAAATTAAGCATAGGCAACCGTGTGATATGGAGTTTTCCTTTTTAGTTGGCCATGTCCCCAAACCTGAACAAATCACTAACCCTCTCTGAGCCTCAGTTTTCACATCTGAAATGTAGATAAGGTATTGCTTTGATTCTCCTACGGATCAATTCAAAAATGAATTCAAAATAGCTTCAAAATTAAAATGTTATCAAGATACAAGGTGCTATGAATGGGCAGAAGAAGCTATAAAACTCACAGGCAGCATGAAAGAAAATGATCATTTTCTCCTTGAAAGCTCAAGAAAAACTAATTCCTCATGCTGCTAGTCAAACTGGAATTATTCCTGCATTTTAAAGAAATTTCACTGCTTAAAGGCATCAGGGGAAAAAATGGGAGGTGGTGGGTAGGAAGTTGAGGATGGTCCTATACAAACAGATCCTGCACATAAATAAATTAAAGCCCCAACTGTTCATTTTCTAGCTGGTGCAATAATCCTAGGCCCAGGAGAGCCACATCCCTCATTGGCTGGAGCGAGCAAGCCTGGTTATTGTTCACACATGGCCGTTTCCTAATGCTGTCTGTGCAGCCATAACGGAGAACTTGGGGCTGTCAGCCAGAAAAACCCAGGCTGCCACTTGGGGAGCTTGAAAGCTCCCAATATAAAGAAGTGACACACACCTGAGCAGGTCTGATATATATTCCTTTCTGCAGAGGGCAGTGGAATACATTCCCGGGCCATTCATCTTGTTGCTAAAATTAGATCCTGCTTAGAAGGAATGATATATTACTGATTACATAATAAAGATAGCTATATTTCTCATGAGAAACAGAAGGGAGAGATATAGTTAGGCACAGGGCAAATATATCCTTGATATGAAAAATGGATTCATTAAGTATTTAATCTTTATACTATTCCTGTGAAATAAATGCACACATACATCACACGTGTGTTAAAGTGACTTGATAATTAATATTGTTACACTTGAGAAAAATCCTGGCCCTCCATCCTGAAGTCATGTCATGAGTTGGAGAACACAGGCCAAGGCATGCCCTCTGCCGAACTCTGAATGGGGCAGCTTGGCTGCGCTCTGAAAGCCAAGGGAATCAGAGGGTGAGTCGTGGGTTTGCATCGAGATTTCATCTTATTTTGGTGAGGCCCAGCGGGAGTCACCAGGGATCTCCTGGAGTAGATGGATCACACATTTCTAAGCGTCACGGAGAGATAGCTGAAAAGAGCCCATGTACTAAAGGGCCTCTGGTAACTGCGTACAGCCTTCATGCTCTCCTCTTTACAAATAAACCTTCTCCCTCCACATCTCATCTCATTCTATTTCCCTCCTCCAAGATCCTTGCCAGAAAGGGCAAAACTCACATTTTTAAAAAACCCGTAGCCGCGGTAGAAGAATTTCCAGACATCCTGGTGATGATATTCCAAATTAAACATGAGTGCGTTTGGTTGGAGTTTAAACAAACATGTAGATTTGTAGCACCTCAGGTGTCAAAGATCAGTAAAAACAAATCTGAGTGAAATAAAAGAAGAAAATAATTCTAAGAATAATAGCTTGGAATAATAGCTTGATCTAACTAAAGATTATTCCAAAGAGATTATGGTCTGGAGAAAAACACTAACAGGCTATCAGGGGTTAAAAGCTCATTACTTGTATATTTATTTTACAAGAAAAGAACATAGGTTTTGTAGTCAGATGGACTTCAGTTCTTCTCCTGGCTCTGTCATCTCCTAGCTAGATTTACAGACGAGCAAGTTAACCTCTTTTGAGCTCTTCTTCCTTATCAATAACATAAAAATCAAAATCCTTTAACCATACTGTTCTAAAGACTGGCTGCATGCACAGCACCAGCATGGTGCCTGGTGCAGAGTAGGAAATCAACAAACATTAGTTCTCTTCCATTCCCTGAGTCCATCCACCTTACAGGAACACAGAAGGGTAATGCCAGAAACTTCTTCCCCCTCTCAGTGATAAAAACTGGTTCCTTCTACTCTACCAGGCTGGAGGGTAAGCAAAAGTTCTAGAGAGTTAACAGGGGCACGTTCATGGGGAAAGTCCTTGCAGTAGTCAGGATAGGCTAGGCTCTGCTGCAGTAATAACAACCTCTGATGCTCCGTGGCTTAACACAGTAAAGGTTTATGTCTCTTTCATGCTATTTGTCCACTGTGAGTCAGCAGGTGGCTGTGCTTAATTTAGTCACCCAGGGACCCAAGACTACCGTTTTTTGATGCCACCATCTCAATGCAAGGTTGACAATTCATTGTCACAGGAAAAGAGAACACCAAAAAAATACAGTGGTGGCTCTTCATGACTTCCACAAGGAAGTGACGTATGACACCTCCTCTCGTATTTCAAAGGGGCAGGGAGGTATAATCCACCCAGGTGCCTGGAGGAGAGGAAATTCAGAGAGTTGAGGCTGCTGTGACAGAAGCAAAGGGATGAACTGGGTGTACGTCGTACAACCGAGTCCACAGAGGCTCCCAAGAACCACACTGCAGTCGCTCTAGCCCTGACTCCCCCGTTCCTTTCCTGGGAGGAAGGAGCTTTGCATGGCGGACCCCCCAGTGTTTGCCAGGATCCCATCCAAGCCCGTTCTCTCCCCTGGTTCACGCTTGTGAGCAGCACTCAAGTTGCCATTATTAGCTTGTCTAAATAATTCATATACCTTTCTCGACTCACATCCAAGTTGCCGAACTTTCGGATGCTTCATGGCAACGTGATCACAATTGTCATTTTGTCACCTATTTTCACCTCAGATCAAATTACACTCCCTGTAGAGCTGATGTTCACACAATTTTTGCTTCTTCCCCAGAAATGCTCAGTCCATATCTCCCTTATTTGCTTCCCATCTGTGGTTGGCTGACTGCATTAACTGGCCCCCATTTTTCACCCCTCCCTGTGTTCAGGCCCCCTTGCACATAGCTTTGCACAGCCCCCTGCTAAGGGCGTGGAGTTTATTTCTCCAGGAATTCAAAGGCCATGTTGAGGGGCCATGTTCAAGGAGATTGTCCCACTGGGGCTTTGGCAGCTTCTGAGTTTGCCAGGCTGGGATGAGTCAGGAGGGAGCCTCCACTGTGATTCTGGGTGGTTCAATCTGTTGGAAGCCAGACCCCAGCTGGCGGCTTGGACAGAGGGAATAAGGCCCTGAGTCCATGAAAAGGAAGCCAGTAGGAGCTAAGCAAAGAGTAGCCAGGCACAGAGGAGCCGGAAAAGGTCTGGGCTGAGGGTTCAGGAGGGCAGCTGGAAACCAATCAGGAAACTGAAACAGGGCAATTCCCTGGCGGTCCAGTGGTTAGGACTGCGAGCTTTCACTGCCGAGGCCTGGGGTGTAATCTCTGGCTGGGGAGCTAAGGCCTAAGACCCCGCAAGCCAGGTAGTGTGGCGGGGAAGAAAAAAAAGGGAAATCGAAACAGGGGACCAGAACGGAGGAGAGGGTGCCGTGGTGGCAGCTCTAGGCTCTTTGAACACTGTTGAAGATAGCAAGACCAGTTCCGGAAACCACCAGCAGAGAGGGGGATCCTAGGTTCTTTCCAGGTTCGGCCAGAGCTGGATGAGAATCAGGCGCCTCTAACTGGCAGGCGTGGGGAAGGCAGGGCTGACAACAACTACCCTGGTAACTCCCTTTTCTCAAGACTGGACTACAGCAGCCTGCTGATCCCGTGGCTCTCACCCCTGGCCAGCTCGCCTGGCACAGTACACAAAACACTAGTGCCTGGGCGCACCCTCCAAGGTCCTGATTTGATTGGTCCCGGTTGGTAGGATAGATCATTATTAATAACGTACAGCCGGGGTGGAGAACCGCATACCTAATCTGCCCGTCCCCCAACCCTCCTTCCCAGGGCAGACCTCTATACTTGTCCTTCTAAACCACAGTTTAGTTAGGCACTCTACCTTCAATCCTTTAAAGAAAAAAGTAAATTTTCACACACACATATACAAGGATGAGAAAAACATTTTTTCTGAGAGTAGAGTTTTAATCTACTGATTATACACACAAGTTATTTAGATTTAGAACCTGTAAGGTAACCAAACCTGGGCATTTGCCCCTAGCCATATATTGGCATGCCCTCCAGAATAACGATCTGAGTCTAAAAAGACAAGGAGTGTATTCCAAACCTTGAGAGTACTTTGCATTAAAGAGATTCCTTAAAAGATTAATTTTAAAGCAGATCATAGCAACTTAAAG